GCATGCAAGGCAAGCACTCTACCACTAAGCCACCTTCCCAGCCCAGGGCCTTGAATCTTTGAACTGCACTCTGGTGGCCAGCTTCACTTACAATGATAGTACTTGCTGGCTCACACTTGTAATCCTAACTATTCAGGAGGCTGAGATTGAAGGATTACAGTTCAAAGCCAGCTGGCAAGAAAGTCTATGAGACTCTTATCTCCAATTAACTACCAGAAAACGGTAAGCATTATGGCTTAAAGTGGTAAAGTGCTAGCCTTGAGCAAAAAAGCTTAGGGACAACACCTAGGTTCTTAGTTCAAGTACCACAATTGACCAAAAAAAAAAAAAAAGATAGTACTGGCTAGATAGACTGATTACCTAGCCTGTGCCAGGCCCTGGATTCACCAACATCAAGGGGGAAGAAAGGTTCCTGACTTTCCCCCAAAAGGTATATGTAACTTGTTAACGGTTCAACAGCATCAAGCCCTTTGAAAGGCCCTTATGAAGTGCAGGTGACAGGTAGAGGGAAAACATGCAGGAGGCTGTGTGTAGCCCCAACCCAGACACCTTCATCACCTTCCTCAGGCCCATCTTCAAGTATGTAGATGAGTGACAGGGCACTAAAGAAATCTCTCTCCTTGCAGGAGAGAAAGGTCCAAGGTGCCCTACATTGTACGCCAGTGTGTGGAGGAGATTGAGCGCCGGGGCATGGAGGAGGTGGGCATCTACCGTGTGTCTGGAGTGGCCACCGATATCCAGGCACTGAAGGCTGCATTTGACGTCAGTGAGTGTTAACCTGGGCAGCAGGGGGGTGGAGGTGTGGCCAGTGGTATCCATACTGCTAGAGCACCCTGTATACCTTGTGCCTGTCACCTCATTCTTGGTACTTTTTCTTCCATTGTTTTATTACTGAAAAAATGTGAGATAAAGCTGAGTGAAGTGGCACACACCTGGAGTCACAGTATTTGAGAGGGTAAACCAGGAGAATCATGAGTTGGAGGCTAGCCTGGACTACATAGGGAGTTCCGGTCCAGCCTGGGTTACATAGCAGACAAATAAATGGATAAAGAAGAAAGTGATTGCTGGGCTCAGTGATCTGTGCCTTTAGTTCCAGCTACTCAGGGAGGTAAGGTAAGGGAATCGCGTGAGTCCAGAAGTTCAAAGCCAACCGGAACAGAATAGACCCCCATCTCAATAGCATCAGTGTTTTTCAGGCTAGAACAAGGGCTGCTCTCATGGGACTTGAACTGGTAGGCCCTAGAGGTGAAGAGTGCAGTGTGACTGTGGCCCATGTGAGGATCTGGAGGGTCAAAGGGCACAGGTGTGACCCAGCTCCTGCCAGTGCTGTCGCTTATTCACCTTTCTATTACCCTTGACTCTGGGAGAGAGGAGGGCTGTTCCAGTACCACAGGGTCCTTGCCCAGCATCCTTGAAGTGCTGGGGGGTAGAAGCAGGGCTCACCCAGGACTTGCTCTTTGCAGACTGCTGCAGGGCACGCACTACCTGCTCTGACCCAGAGCTCTCAAGGGCCCAACACCCTTGGGTGGGCCCTTGACCCATATCAGGTCCCCCTGGACAACCAGAGGGGGCCTGGCCTGTGGCTTGGAGGATTGGTGCCACCTAGGCCCAAAGGAAAACACTAATTTCAACACTGAAATGACTCAGATAATCCCAATGCCTTCCTATTAGTAAGGTGCCGGCACCTAGGCATTTCTAGTAACAGGCCAGACAGCCCACTTCCTGCCTAAGTGCCGTGTCCTACACTAGCCTCATCATTGTCCTCTGGCAGGTGCTTCTGGCTCTATCTCAGGGCTGTTGCTTGCTGAGCAAGGGAGAGGTGTGGGGATGAGCTCCCCTTCCCAGTCCTGCCCAGACTTAGATCCATGGGTGCTTGGGAGCAGGAAGCTGAGCTGCTCGAAGGGGAGTGACCTATCAGCAGTTAGCATGGTGAGGACCTCATAGCCAGCAGAAGCCTCAGCTCAGGGTCCACACGCAGACTCCACCCCCATGTTCCTTCTAGATAACAAGGACGTGTCGGTGATGATGAGTGAGATGGATGTGAATGCTATTGCCGGCACACTGAAGCTTTACTTCCGGGAGTTGCCAGAGCCCCTCTTCACTGATGAGTTCTACCCCAACTTTGCTGAGGGCATCGGTGAGCATTGAAAACCCAGCCTTGTGAAGGACATCTCCCCACTTTCTCTCCTGTCCACTGCCACTCATGAGAAGAAAACCCAAAGCCATGTCCCCTTACCGTGGTCCACATTGCAGCCCTCCTCTAGTGAGCTACAGGTGGGGGATGAGAACACGCGTCTTCCAAGGGCAGCTCTGCCAGTCCTCAGCCCCCAAGGGCTGCCTGTTGCGCCCCTGGACTGTGTACTGCAGATGTACCCGCATGTGAGGACTTGAAGACTGCAGCCCTCCTTTCTGTAGGCCAGGGCTCCTCCTAGGGGCCTATACAGCAGAAGGCAGCCACAAGCACAGATCCATTCCTAAGCAGCTCCTATCATGATACCTCTGCTCTTAGTACTAAGGGTGGTTTTGATCCATTGGTAATGAGGCAGCCCTTCAGGGTGGTTCACATGCCACCCATCACAGGGTCCTCAGCATGAGCCCGGGCTGTGCTGTGTGAGCAAGCAAGGGCAGTGGTGGGCCTGGACTGCCCAGCACCTTCCAACACAGCCCTGGGAGCTCTATTCGTTTTCCCCACCCCCCTCAGGACAGAGGTCTACAGCCATGGTTACAGCCATTGAGATTAGCCCTCTTTGCTTTCTGCAGCTCTTTCAGACCCTGTTGCAAAGGAGAGCTGCATGCTCAACCTGCTGCTGTCCCTCCCAGAAGCCAACCTACTGACCTTCCTCTTTCTTCTGGATCACCTGAAAAGGTTAGCCCTGACTCTTCTGTGGGATCCAGAGCCCCAGGACCCCACCTACTCAAGTCAGTGGAACTTTTTCTCCCCACTCATTGGCCCTTCCCCCTCTGGGGACTGGAGACAGTATTTTAGCCACACCCAGCACTGCATTTGCCCCTGCTCTTTCTCTCAGGCCTTAGCCCAGAGTGGGCCCAGCTTGCCTACAGGCTGGCCTTGAGCACTCCGTCTTGGGCCCCTCAGACTGTGGGGTGGGGTAGCTTTCAGCACAGCCAAGATTGTGCTATGTTCTGGAGCCTGCAGAAGCCAGGAAGGGATGATACAACCACTATATTCCCTGGGGGGACTCTAATGGGGGTCCTCAGTCCCCTCAGTGGTTGAGGCTCTGTTCCCAAGGGGATGTAAAAGCGCACACTCTGTTTTGGCTCTCGACAGGGTGGCTGAAAAGGAGACCGTGAACAAGATGTCCCTGCACAACCTTGCCACAGTCTTCGGCCCCACACTGCTGCGGCCCTCAGAGAAGGAGAGCAAGCTCCCTGCCAACCCTAGCCAGCCCATCACCATGACCGACAGCTGGTCCCTGGAGGTCATGGCCCAGGTTTGAGATATTGCCACTGCCCCATGCTACCCTGCCTCGACATAATGGTGGCCTCTGCCTGCTCCCCATTGAGTCCTGCCAGCCAGTCCCACCTCTAGGGTACAGAAGCTGTGGCTATGAGCCAGGCCCCCCCGCCCGGGCTACTGTGTGTCCCTCTGTACTTTACAGGACTTTTGGGGTCAAGCTACCTGCTGGTCCCTCAGATGCATCCAGCCTGAGTCCTAAAGCAATCCCAAGTTGTATGTTGTTGGGAACCCATCCCTTCTTAGTATGAGGGGCTTCCACCGTATCCCACACCCAACTTACACTCCTCCTTGCAGCCCTGAGTACCCCTCTGAGCCATCTGCCTCATTCTTCTCTGCCTGTACAGGTCCAAGTGTTGCTGTACTTCCTGCAGCTGGAGGCCATCCCTGCCCCTGACAGCAAGAGACAGAGCATCCTGTTCTCCACCGAAGTCTAAAGGCCAAGCAGCATCTCCTTAAGAGGCCAGCCGAACAGCCTGGAAACCTGTGGCAAAACAGGCCATCTGCAAAGTGGGAACCAAACCGCAGGCCATTCCAAGAGCAGGTCATCTGCCAAGAGACAAGTACCCAAAGCAGGCCAAGTGGCCCTGGTAGATCCCAGCCAAGTGGATCTGCAAGCCCTGAGCTGGCCTTAGACTGTGGTTTTTCATGCCACCACCAGAGGGTGCCCCAAGCCAGCATGTCTTAGTGTGGAGGCCTGGCTGCAGGGAGAGAAGGTGAAGAGAGTGGTTTTTATGAACTTAATTTATCAGAGTTTAAAAGATTTCTACTGGATCACTTGTCAAGATGCACCTCTCTGGAGAGATGGGAACGCCACCAAATTCCCTCACTATTGTGTCTTGAATAAAATGCTGCTGCTGCTGCTTCATACTGTGGGGGGCCACAGCCCTGTCCCTGTGTAGGAGGGGGCATTCCAATTTCCCTGACTTAGAAATTCAATTGTATTCGTTAACAGGGTTTGAGAAGCTAAGTCAACACTGTGTAGCATTGATTCACAGCTTGCTCCTTTTTTCTTTCTAGGATTTCTGTACAGAAATGGGTTGGCTTCCCCTTCTTGTTGCTTTGTTTTCTTCTTTTTTATGTTCCTCAGAAGACAATGTAGTCTACAGCAGAGAAGTATAAAGGGACCAGACACCAGTGGGAAAGACACCCAGGCTGGCTCTCTTCTGGGAGAGTGACCACATCTACCCATCCTAACTGCCCGCCTGCTCTTGGCTGTCCTTCTTGGCTTATGAAGGCCTTGATTTCTCTTTGCTCACTCTGCCTGCTCCCTCCCTTCCCTCCTCCTTGCTCCATCACTTCCTTTCCTCGCTCTCAGCTGAACAGACTCAGTTTACTTTTGTACAAGTTTCTTCTCTGTGGTGGCAGCGTGCTGACAGCTTGTTTTAAAACTTTGATCCGAAATAGCCTTTTGATACTTGAATATTTTTAAGTTTTATACATAGTTTCTAATTTTTTTCCTAACAGATTCAGTTACCTAGTAAAATAGGAGAATGTACTCTGGACAGTCTGTATCCCGGCAGCATTTGTCTTCCCCTTAAGCACCAGCTCTGCTTGTAGTGGGAGTCAGTTCTGACCTCTCTGTAGAATGAGAAGCTTGAGGGGTTTAGGAAAGCCAGGCACGGGAAAGCAGGGGCGGCTTCCACCACAAAGTTGACAGTGGATAGTCCTGTTCACCCACCCCCGTTGCCTGCACTCGGGCTGGGACCAGGATCTCTGTGCCTCCCTGGCCACCCAGCTTAGAGAAGAGAGGATGCCACCAAATATTTTAAATATGCACATCACTCGTAAAAAGAGGGAGTTGGGGATGGAAGGAAGGAACTGAACTACAGTTCCAGTGCTGGTTCTGCCACTAACCAGAGGACGGAAGCGGGGCATGAGAACACTAGTACCTGCTGGGACATTTCCCATGACCCTTGGTATCAGGGGACAGACAGCAATGCATACCTTCTGCCAAGCCTATAGCACATGGCAGAGCCCTTGACAGCCAGGGACAAAAGGTAAAAAACAAGGCCAGGACAAATCTCCATTGCACAGTGTACAGATACTGTCTTTTTTCCTTGTATAGCACAGGGCCACCCTCTTGGGTGATGAGAACAGAAACTGCTTGTGCTCCTATCTGCACCAATTTCCATCCGTCTCAGGCCCCTCCAGCCCCTCAAGAGAAACACTTTGCTTAGAAAAGCCAAACGCATCCCTTAATGTCTCTTCCCTCTAGTATCTCTTGATTTGCATCTATCGCCTTGAAACTGGAAAGCAATATCTCAGCATCTGTGCCAATTCCCATTTCCTCACCCACCCTCCTCATTTTGCCTTTTATTTATATGGGACGTGTGCTCTTTCATAATGGAATGACCACTCTGTAGTTGTAAAGTGCTCCTCCACTACCAGGCCACTGTGGTGGTAATGGTGATCGCTTTAGAACTGAGGCTGCCTCCATTTTCCCATCTTAACGCATTGCCAGCCTGTGTGTGAGTTGACAAAGCTTCACAGGGCCGGGAAAATAGTGATTTTTCTGGAGTCAGCAGGTCTCAGCTCTGGGCAAAGGCCCAGAGCCCTTGTGACCACCCTGAGTCCAGGGCACAGCAAGTGTAGCTTCTAGGCAGCAGCCCGGCCTTCCTTTGGTGGGTAGTTGGTCTCTGAGCAGCTGTGATCCTGTTTAGAGGTCAGCTGTCTATATACCCCCCTGGGAAAAAGTACTGTGGACACTTTCATTAAAGTTACCTAAGATGACTCAAGTTTGTGGTGATTTCTGGATTTAAGAGAAAAACAATGATCAACTCCTCTGAGAGAGAAAAAGCCCCTAGGCTTCTGAACTGAGATGGGCAGCAGGTGGCAGGGAAGATCTGGGTGCTTGGGAGGCCTTGCAAGGCTAATCAGGCCACCACTAGGGGAAGAATGTCAACATTTGCCACTTCAGAGAAGCCAGGCCTGGTGGGTTTTGGGTGCTGACAAGCAGGCACTGTCCACACAACCCCAGAAGTAGTCCATTTGGGCAAGGACCTTGGATTTGGCTGAGGGGGAGGGGAAAAAAGGCCACCTGAGGGATGCAGGGGAGGCAGGTGGCAGAGAAGGAAATCTATGAGTACTCCTTTGGTGTCAGCCCCCCCCCACCCCCGTAGGAGGGCTACACCAATCTGGGCCCCTGCTCTCACCTGTGCTGGTAAGGGTCCTTCAGCCTGGTGGTTTCTACAAGCCTTGCCTTCCTGTTGCCTGAATAGGGGACCCAGACATTCTTAACTACCTCTCACCTGCTCTCCAGAGCCTGTCCAGGTCAGGAGCCAGTGGCTCATACTTGTAATCCTAGCTATTTAGGAGGCTGAACTCAGAGTTGAGGTTAAAAACCAGACAATTCTGTGATTCTCAGTTAACCAGTAAGAATCCTGAAGCCAGGCACTAGTGGGCTCCCTCCTGTAATCCTAGCTACTCAAGAAGCTAAAGATTACAGTTTGAAGCCAACCTGGTAAGAAAGTCTGTGAGACCCATCAATCAACCTCCAAGACACCATAAGTAGAGTTGTGGGTCAAGTGGTCACCTACCAACCTTAAGCAGAAAAGTCAAGCAAGAGCATGAAGCCACAAATTCAAGCCCCAGTACCAGCACCAGCACCAAAAAAAGAAAAAAAAAAAAAGACAAGACAGGCAGCCAAGCACTGGTGGCTCATACCTGTAATCCTAGCTACTCAGGAAGCTGAGATCTGAGGGTACAGTTCAAGGCCAGCCCAGGCAGGAATGGTCCTTGAGACTTATCTCCAATTAATCACTAGAAAACTAGAAGTGGCCCAGTGGCTCAAGTGGTAGAATGCTAGCTTTTAGCTGAAGAGCTCTGCAACAGTGCCCAGGACCAGAGTTCAAACACCACCACCACAACAAAAACAAAACAAAAAGATGAATTTTGCCTAAGTTACAAGGAAGCTAGCTATGAGGTGGAAATATGGAGGGAGTGAAATAGGCCTGGGGACCATCAGGCCATGGCTACTTAGCATCAGACCGCCCTCTGCAGTCAGGTTGCCGTGAGGCTTCCCAGAGGAACAAGGCTCACCTGACAAGGACTAGAAGTGACAAAGTAACAGGTGGGTTCAGAGCCTTCATGGACTTTTTGGAGGTGGTTCTCATGGACTGTATCTGGTCAACCTCGGGTGAAGGCTTGATACCTGGCTTCTACCTGCAGTGTGGATTAGATTGTCTCCAAACATTGCTTCCTGCAGACCAGAATCACCCTATCCATGGACAATGGTTATATGACAATGAGATTGAGACCCAGCCTGATGTCGCTATCAAGTGAGTGTCCAGCCCTAAAAGGCTAATTTTTGTGCCTTCAATAACACACACACACACACTGGTTTTTTCAAACAAGAACCAAAACTGACTTCTAAGTTTCTGAGATTTGGGGCTAGGGCTGGCCCAACCCAAGCCAAGTGGCATCAGAGAATGGTAAAACCAATCACTGCTTCCCCAAATCTGAGTTTGTTGACATTTCTAAAAATCCTCAGAGGCCTCCAAATCCACCCTCCTTTCTTGATAGACAGGAAACCAAGGCAGGCAAGGTATTTCCTACCATGAAGCATCCCTAAACTGGCTTGTCAGCAGAGGCTAGGGGCTCTCATGACTCCTTGTCTCCAGGCTCACCATCAGCAGAAAGACTGCCGAACGAGAGGAGTCAAGGCCAAACCTCACCCACCAGCCCTGTGCTGCCAATGTGGGCCCATGGACTAAGAATTCCTGGCAGCATGTTCTGTTCAAATAAAGGGAAGACAGGATTACATATAGAGACCTCAAAATAAAGCCCTAGTTGCCTTTAAAGGAAGCATTTATGGACTCTAATGATGAACTGTCATAAGAAGTTCTGGAAAGATAAACAAGATATGAGGGAATGACAGCCAGCTCTTGAAGAAGCCCAAATGGCCTGGGGAGCAGAGGCCACAGGTCAGTGGGCAGGATTGGAGCTGGAGGAGTGTTGTTCTTGAGGGGAGGGGGAAACAGACCTAGGATGAGAATGTTGGAGCCCAGTTTGCATAACTGGAGTGGGAGGGAACAGTCAAGCAATGGGTCAGCTACCAGGCAGAACCCTGGGTCATCCCAGTTCTCACAGAAAGGCCAGCTAGGGATGTAACAGACATGCACATAAATGGGGTTCTGGAAGACAAGACGATATTGTATCTCTCAACATGACCAGACTGGGAAAGAAACCAGCTGTTGGGGTAAAATGATGCCCTGGACCTGGCAGCCTGGTATGGATCACATGACAATAGAGCAGAGGACTTTAGGAGCCTCCAGTTCCAAGGGCTCTGTCCACATTCCCCACATTCATTCCAATGAACTGAACTGGGAAAGGCCTGACTAATCACTGTCCAAATATGAGCCCCTCAAGTCTGCTTTTTGTTTTTTGTCGGTTGTGGGGCCTGAACTCTGGGCCTGGGTGCTGTCCCTCAACTCTTCAGCTCAAGGCGAGCACTCTACCATTGGAGCCACAGTGCCACTTCTAGCTTTTTCTGCTTATGGGGTGCTGAGGAATCGAACCCAGGGCCTCATGCATGCGAGGCAAGCGCTCTACCACTGAGCTACCTTCCCAGCCCCTCAAGTCTGTACATTTAAGTGACATCCAGGTCAAAGAAAGGCATGAGGAATAGAATCCAATAGCTGCCCGCTCAGCAGCCACCAAAAGAATAGGCCCTGGGAGGGAACTGAGATCTGAGGATAGCAGTTTGAAGCCAGCTGGAGCAGGAAAGCCCGTAAGACTCTTTAACCACCAGAAAACCAGAAGTGGCTCTGTGACTTAAAGTGGTAGAGTGTTAGCCTTGAGCTAAAAAGCTCAAGAACAGCACCCAGGCACTGAGTTCAAGCCCTATGACCAGAAAAGAAAAGCCCCAGAATGGTGAGTATGAAAGAGTCTGAGCTACTATGAAGCAGGTAGCCCCCTCCATCCACTCCAGAGACTCAGATGCCCACAAAGATGTCAAACTCTGAACCCCAAGGCACAGTTCAAGGAGTATGGGAAATCCAGGCTCATCTAGAGGGAGACAAATACCACAACTCCTTATGTACTATTGCTGCAAAATGGATTAGGGACTTAGATCAGCAGTAGAGCACTTACCTAGAATATACTAGAACCTGGGTTCTGTCTGCAGCACTACAAAAATGCAAATAACTCTGCCACCAGAAGCTTACACTTGTAATCCTAACTCTTCAAGAGGCTGAGATCTGGAGGGCGGCAGTTCGAAGTCTGACTTGGCAGAAAAGTCCTTAAGACTCCATCTCCAGAATAATCAACAAAAAGCTAAACTGGAGGTGTGGCTTGAGTGATAGTACACCATCTGAACAAGCAAGCTGAGCAAAATTGAAGCCCTGAGTTCAAACCCCATTACCACTAAAGAGACGTGAAGCCATGTTCAGGAGGCTGGATGAAACTGATCTTCAAATGAAGGGTTGGGGGGGGGGGTCATGATATGAAACAATGAGGATATTATTTTTCTCTGATTTTTAAAAATAATAATAATGTGTGTAAAATTAAGTTTGTGTGTGTGTGTGTGTGTGTGTGTGTCCTAAGCCTAGATTCAGGGCCTGGATGCTGTCCCTGGGCTTTTTTGCTCAAGGCTAGTGCTTTACTACTTGAATCGCCTCTACTTCCAACTTTTTGGTGGTTAATTGGAGATAAGAGTCTCATGGACTTTCCTGCCTGGACTGGCTTCAAACCGTGGTTGTCAGATCTCAGCCTCGATTATAGCAGTGAGCCATCAGCACCTGGCAAAATTTACCATCTTGGTCCAGGGAAAGAGTAGTTCTCTGAATTGAACACAAGACCTTACCCATACTTGCTAGGGAAGTGCTCTACTATTGATCTACATTTCCAGCCTTATTGTAACTTTTTTTTTTTTTTGGTCGGTTGTAGGCCTGGGCAGTGTCTTCAGCTCAAGGTAATCGCTCTGCCACTTGAGCCACAGGGCCACTTTCAGTTTTCTGGTGGTTTATTAGAGATAAGAGTCTCACGGGCTTTCCTGCCAGGGCTGGTTTTGAACCACAATCCTCAAATCTCAGCCTAGAATTACAGGCGTGAGCCACTGGCACCCAGCTAAATTGTGACTTTTTTAAATGTACATGTAGATAATTTTAAATCATTCATAACACTGTTCAACCATCATCACCATTCCTTTCTGAAACACTCTATTTTATAGATTGGAAAGACCCTGGGTTTAATCCCCAGCATAGAGAAAAAGGGGGGAGAGGAATCCCTTCTGTTTGAGTCCTTATAAAGATAATTTTTCTTGATTTTTTTTTTCTGGTCCTGGGGCTTGAACTCAGGGCCTGGATGCAAGGCTCTACCACTTAAGCCACAGCTCCATTTCTGGATTTTTAAAGTAGTTTATTGGAAATAGGAGTCTCACCAGGATTTTCTGCCCAGCCTGGCTTCAAGTCACAGTCCTCAGATCTCAGCCTCCTGAGTAGTTAGGATTACAAGTATGAGCCACTGGCATCATTCCAATCTACATTTTTATTCTTTGTTTCTGCTTTCTTCATCTCCTCTTTGTCTATAAGACCAACCCTTGGGGCTGGGAAGGTGGCGCAGTGGTAGAGTGCTTGCCTTGCATGCATGAGGCCCTGGGTTCGATTCCTCACACATAAGCAAAAAGAAAAAAAGCCGGAAGTGGCGCTGTGGCTCCAGTGGTAGAGTGCTAGCCTTGAGCTGAAGAGCTGAGGGACAATGCCCAGGCCCAGAGTTCAGGCCCCATGACTGGA